TTATCAAGGTGCCTGCCAAAGGTCAGGTCCTACTCTAAGTTTTGGGGTCACCCTCCTGGAGTTTGGGTTCTAGTGGAAGAGAAAGATAAATCAACAAATGAATTCAGAAGTGCTCTGAAGAGAATAGAAGCAGAGGGTAACCGGCAGCAGGGCCGCTGATTGAGGTGGGGCGCTCAGGAAAAGCCTCACTAGGAAGCAAGAGTTGCATTTGGACCCGAATCAGAAAGGAGCCGAGCGTGTGATGTGCCGGGGGAAGAATGCTCCAGAAAGAGAGAACGGTGACTGCAAAGTCTGGCGTGTGCGCAGGACGGCAGGCTCGGTGTGGAGCACAGTGACTGTCGAGGAGGCAACGGGGTCCCGGGAGTAGGTGGGGAGAGACCATTCAGGTCTAAGTAGGTTGGATAAGGACTTAGCAGTTTGGGGTCATTGACTATCACGTGGGTGTTTTCAGTTTAGAGTAGGTTCATTCAAGGTTTAGGGTCCCGGAGAGTATTAGGAGCCATTAAAGATCATTTAGGATCTTTTATGACCACTTAGGATCTTTTATTGCTGTATAGGGTTTTTTAAATTCACTCAGGCTCATTTAGTATAATTATCGTTGTTAAGGATTTAGGTTTTAAACTTTTTAGGTTTTACAGTTGTTTAGAACTGTTGAAGGTTATTTAGCATTGGTGTCATTTAGAGCTCTTTAATTATATCTTGACTTTCTTAGGGTTATTTATGATCTTTTTCCATTGGTATGATCTTTGAGGCGTGTAGCCCTTTGAACATGCAGGCTGCCGAGCTCTGGAAAAACCTCACCGCCTTTAACAAGAACCTGCAAGAACCAGACTCAGAGCAGGACTCCAGCCAAGAGCCCCGACCCTGCAGTCCAGCCTCCCTCCTTGCGTTGTCTCGATTCGTCTTAGATGGTCTGTGTTCCCTTGATTTCTGGATAGGGCTCCGTATCTTAAGCTGTGGTGACATTTTTGTTTTGTGTCTGTTTTTTAAATTGTCTCTGGCTGAGCCCCTGTGATGAATGAATACACTACACAAATACATTTGGGTTTTTCTTTTTTAAAGGTGCACAAGGTAGGATAGGGGAATAGTGAGTGTCCTGTGTGCCCAGGTAGGGTGAAGCACACATCCAGAATCTTCCATACAGGCCTTGGTTAGCCATGCAGGCACTGCACCAGTAAGAAACAGAGTTGGACTGTTTGACAACATATTCTGGCCAACCTCAGGCTTCCAGAATTTACGACAGGTGTTTTTTATTTTCTCCTTTTGAAAGCTTTTGTTTGCCCAATGCCTGAAAGCATCGAGAGTACAGTTGGAAAGGGGGTTTGGTGTCCGGGGTGACAGAGCCCAGACACAAGGAATTCCCCAGTTTCTCACAGCGAGAGATGCCAGGGCAGCTGGTCTTCTCAAGGGCCCCGGCACTATGGATGCAGTCCTCCTGTTCTGGGGCGTGTATGAGCGTGCATGACATGCACACACACCTAGTTTGGGCACATGCGGATTGCGTTTCAGTTGCCTGTTGGGCCTCCTATTATAACAGGGATGTTGATGCTTTTTACCTGGAGAAAATGGACCCCACACAGCAGTGAGACAAGGGCCTAGCTGGCTTTGATCTTGGGTTTTTTTTGCGTTTTTGCATACATGTGTGCTTTTGGACCTCAATATTTTTGGATGTATTAAAAAGGAAATTTGTATCCAAAAGCCACTGTAGAAACGCAAAAAAGAAGAAAGCCAGGTAGATACATAGATAAAATGTCAGTCCCCCACTCCAAGGAACTTTTTCAGAAGCTTTTACACATAGTTCTATAGTCATACTGAGCAGGCAATTTTATTCACTTTACTAATAATACTTTCTAAGTTTTCAAATTAACTTTTATTATACTTTTACTGGCTGAATAGTATTTATGACTATATTTTTTATTTTACTTATAGCTTTATCACAAAAAGAAGGAAGAAAGAAGAAAAAGTCCTACTTGGCTTTTTTTGTTTTAATAACAAAGGCACATCTACTAGGCTTTCATTAGGGTTAGCTGGGGAGAGCTGTTGTCTCTGCAACCCATAAATGAGGCACACCTCTCCGTTTCTAAATTTTATTTTCAAATCTAATCGTATTGCTGATATATGTAAATGAAACTAATGTGTATATAGTCACATTGTTTTAGCAACCTTGCACAATTTATTTAGTATTTCTAATAATTTCTCTCTAGATTATGATGACCATTTGAAATTCAACTTTTACTTATTGGTTTCCTTTAATGAGTCGTGGATGTTATAATCTGCTTTTTTTGCTTAGTTAGCACAAAGCCTTTTGGACAAACTACTTAAACTGATTTTTGTGATTTTTTAAGAATTGATTTTTAAATTGCCAAAATTTGGTTGAGGAACCTGAACAATTTCTGTAAATGCGTCCCTTACCTTTAGAATCTTTCCTTGGGATCATTTTAAATTCCAGGCTTTCCATAACCCCACACATTCACTGTTTGCCGTGTGTGGGAGTTCTCATCAGCCGTTTGTTCCTGAAATTACACCCCAGACGTCTCTGAGACATAACGGCTTTCCATTGGCAAAACACACCCACGCTGTCCTGTTCCTCCCGTCCCAGAGCCGGCACCAGCTGCCCTCCCAGGAGCCCAGGCTTCTGTCAGCGGAGGATGCTGGGAAAGACCCAAAGCTCGGTGCTGTGGATCCTTAGATGGCTCCGCGAGCACGGGCGGGGTGACGGTCACGGTCACAGATGAATGTAAATGAACGCCAATGTGCCCAGTTTTATAGCTCCACTAAGAAAAGTGCATTTCTAATCCGAGAACATTTAAATCAGCACTATCAAAGCATTTAGCCTATAAAATATATTTGCCTTTCATCAAAACATGTGTTTAGAGATCCTAAAGTTTAAACTTAACTCTTTAAACTTTATATTTATATAAAGTTTATACTTTGTAAGAGCTGAGCTTTTTCCGACTTATGGCCTCATCTTAGAAACCTCATGTATGAACATTATGATTAGCCAGCTACTTTCGGCCAGTGTCCGGAGGACGAGACTCATCATCCGTCCGGGACAGTTGGAGAACAAGAGGAGGGGCTGTTGGTAACTGCACCGGAACAACAGACAGAACTAGAATCGTCCTGGCCAGTCTCAGACTTCCAGCCCCTATCCATGGGCCCGCAGTTCTAAAACTTTTAAAGTTAAATTACTTAAAAGTATATACTCACATAAAGTTAACTTACATATTTATATAACATATACTTAAACCATAAATAAGAATTTTTACATTGCATGGTTTTAAAATAAAAAGAGCAACGTCAATTTTACCCAAGTTCTCCTTTCAGTAGATTTGCTTGCAACTAAGCATCTCAGCCAAATCTATTCAAATGTATTCAAAACTTCACAGTCTTGTGCTCACAGCAAACTCAACTCAGGAAAAACCCCGTTACCTAAAATAGGCAACACAAAATTATTTCATGAAATCTGTCTCTGCAAAGCAAGCCAAGAACTGCTGCCTCCTTTGGCAGAAGGCTATTAGCATGTCGGATGGTTTCAGGCACCCTAACTTCTATGTGATGTATTGCTTGAGTCGGGGTCTCAGTGGTGCCCCCAAATGGACCATTTATTTATGTCGTCTATGTCACCTACAAATGCATCTCCATCTACACACTGCACAGCACAGAAACCTCACCACCCTGAAAGTGTCAACTGTCTGCCCATCACTTTCATCCAGTGTCATCAGCTCAGCAACTGAAAAACAACCACTTAGAGTGGAAACTCTAAATATAGGAAATCAATACAACACTTAAAAGGAGTAGTGATTTATCCAAACTTTTCTCTTAAAAAAAAAAAGAAAACATATAAGCATCATTTGAGGGCATTGTTAAAATTCTTGTCTTGGTTGTTACCTTTTCTAGAGATCAGATCATATTGGTTGTCATTTACGTTCCATGACCAGCTTCCCGGGAAGACACCTGCCAGTCACATATTCAGACGTTTTGGATTAGCCACATGACTCCTCGGGGCTAGTCCGAGTTTTCCAGAAGAACAGAACCAATACATGTGTATACAGAGAGATTTAATTTAAGGATTTGGTTCGCACCACAGGGGAGGCTGGCAGGCTGGAGACCCAGCGAAGAGCTGATGTTGCAGCTCCAGTCCAAAGGCAGGCTATAGGTAAAATTTCCTCTCCCTCGGGAGAATCAGTCTTTTTCTCTAAGACCTTTAACATTGTGGAGGCGAATTTGCTTTACTCAAAGTCTACTGATTTGAATGTTAATCTTACCCTGGCTGGTGTGACTCAGTGGATTGAGTGCCAGCCTGTGAACCTAAGGGTCGCTGGCTCAAGTCCCAGTCAAGGCACATGCCTGGGTTGCAGCCCAGGTTCCCCAGTAGGGGGCGCCTGAGAGGCAACCACACATTAATGTTTCTCTTTCTCCCTCCCTTCCTTTCTCTAAAAATAAAATCTTTAAAAAAAAGTTTATCTCATCTTTAAAAATACATAGACTAGTCACAAAAACCTAGACTCATCACAAAAACACCTAGACTAGTGTTTTACCAAATACTTGGGTACCATGGCCTAACCAAATTGACAGGTAAAATTAACCCGAGGGTGGAACTTGGGCCCCAGTCTGAGGTCTTACACTCGGTGACTCCTAGGGGATCGCCTCCAACAGAGGCAAGTCCAGGTCCCCACACCTCCTTGGCTATTTTATAGGTGAAAAAACCAAGTCCTACAGGCTCAGTGAGTTCATCCCAACAAGTCAGGACAAAAATCCAGCCTCAGTGAAAAGTAGTTCCCAGCTCTTTCCATTGGGACCTGAACCCAAGACTTATACAGGGGCATTCTCATTTCACTTATTTGGAATATTGCAGCCAAGTGTGAACCCATTCAAACCATAAACTCTAGGCCAAGGAAATCAACTCTTCTCCTGGGTGCACTTGCACATTCCTATCCTCACCCTCTCACACTGCAGAGCTCCCCACCCAGCGGACACGCACAGACCTATCCACAGAAAACTTCTCTTTGAAAAGTGCTTTATTTAGCAAGATCTAAGTCAGGTGCATCAAAACATACCAAAATGTTACAGAAAGTCATGGCTCCCTATGAAGCCTTGTCACATTATGTTAAGATATCTAAACACATACATTTGTAAGTTCAGAACCAAACATTAAACCAGGTCATGTACCACTGCTAAAAGTCAAGTTATGATTAAACAAAAAACACTTCACAAAACTAAAACAAGTGGGGAAACCCTTAGGAAACACTAGCAAAAACAGGCCAGAAGCCATCAGCCTGCAAAACAGGTCTGCGATCCGCCTGGAAGACTCAAAAGTACACGGAGGCTTTCGCTTCAGAGTGTCCATGCCTTGTGCTCGTTTAAAACACGGGGGGGCGCTGTAACCTCCCGTGACAGGGTAAACACTTTCAGTTACATCCGAAAGATGACACATTTCATTTTATTTCTACCTTGACAGGTGATTATTTTCCTATCTCATCTGATTCAAGCAAGACTGTGTGTAAAACAATTTAAGTAGGTTCTCAAAAATTCATGCTGCTGCCTCTGGGGGGCTCGAGGACATCTCTGTCCCCTGTCCCAGCCTCCACATCGTGGTTTGGTCACTATGAGACTCTGAAATTCCCTTATTCAGACAGGAGTTTCTGTTTTGGAGATGCATGTACAACACCATGTTCTCATGCCCCAGAGCTCTGAAATAACTTCTCTTTTTAAAGAGATCTTTTCTTAAAAGAGTTTCCCGCCCTTCTGTGGCCCATTCCACCCTCCTGACACTCTGAAATAACCACCCAATTCCACAGAAAAGAATTTCTGCCAAGGCATTTTTGCATCAGAGAACAGTTATTTGTTGTTTACGCAGAAGTCTCATCTACACTGATGATGAAATGTCTTTACCTGGAGATTTCCAGGAGAGAGTACAGGTTGTTCCCCACTGTCCCCCACCGTAGGGAGAAGGATGAAAATACTTCTCCCTGAAGTCTCAGGCCAAAATCTCAACCTCAGGTCTCAGCACTTTTCACACGGATGGGTGGCTTATCCGAGATCCTCACCCCTCAGTCTCAACTCCTAAAGTCTGTCCAGCCTGGAGACCAGCGTGCACACCCCACTCCAGCTCACTCAGCACGCCCATCCTTTGTGCTTTCGGCCCCTCCCCCAGAGAACCCTGACCCCCCCGCTCCCCACACACACACCCGTTTAACTCATCACCTTCCCACTAATGTGATCACAGAGAATGTGATCTTGTGCTTAATTCCACCATCACCTGGGGGGACGGACACCCTTCCCAGCCAGATGGACTCAGGTTTTTCTTCATTTGATCACCTTGTAACATAAGCCCCTGGCAAAAGAAAGCAGTTGTGGCTGTAACTACTTTACAGAAGTTAGGGGAAAATCCTATAAATTGGCCTTTGTTCTTCACATGATTTCAGGTTCATTGCACACAATTACATAAACCCAACACAAATCAGTTGAGAAGTTCAAAGCTGCAGGCCCATCTGATACCAATGAGAAAATCCTGCTCCACACCGTGGAGAAGTGTCTGTTACAGCTGCTGCTGTTTCAAAGAACTTCAAAAATCCTGATCAGGTTATTAGGATGTGGGAAATGACCTCTAAACAGGGTGGCCCAGTTTCGAAATGCACGGCCTGCATTAAATGGAACGTATTGCGTAAAATACAGTTTCCCCTCATTTCCATCCCAGGCCCCCATCTTTAAAGAGCCAAATCTGCCCTGGCACTTTCTTAGGAAGTGACCTGGCAAATCTGCCATTTTACATTTCCACATTTAACACTGTCACGGCGCTAGTGCAAACGAAAGGGGGCTTTCACAAACCAGAAAAGGCTGTCCAATAAAAGTTAGCGGTATTTTCTTAGTGGAAATTCTTCTCCCTGGCCCCTCAAGGAGAATTATTGGGATCAAAGCTTTGAGCATACAACATAAAAATAACTGGAAGAGAAGTTTTCCAAGTCATTTTCTCAAATGCAAAACTCAGGAAGTATGTCTGCACTTACACAGTGCTCTTTCCCACCGGTAACAAAGGAAGCCTCCCCTCCACCCTTTTCCCCAAGTCTGTGCATTTTGCAAAGCCCACCGAGGTGTCCGATTGAGACTGAGGCCCTCCGGATTTCCAGTCCACACCCCACTGGGCTGTTGGTGCCCTCCCCACAGAAGAGGGAGGCTTGCTAAGAGACCCCTGGAAAAATGCCAGGTGGCAGCATGCCATCTTTCTGAAAGTCAACCATAAGACCAACACTGTGAGCCATCTAATGAAGCCACGAAGGCCAGAGTGGTGGGATGGGAGTAGGAGGGTGCCTGGGGCAGGAACAGGTCTACTGCAAAGATCTACCTTCCTTGCAGGTACCAATCAATGGTTCTCCTTTCCTCAACTGGCCAGCTCTTAAACCATTCTTGGAGAGGAGGTAGAGAAGAGATGAGGAGCATCCCTTCCCCAACGAGGCTCACAGTCACCTGCTGTCAAGAGCTCCTGACCTTGCTTGTTGATCTCCACAGCCAGGCGCCCTGCTCCAAGTACCTGCCTGCCCCTCTTCAAACAGTATCAGTCACACCGGCATCCAGCTGCCTGGCATCTTCCCGATGCGGGGCACAGGGGTCAGACTGTCCCTGCCCTTTTCCCCTAACTGGGGTCTGCCTTAAAGATCACCAAGGTGGCTGCTCAGAGAAGCTGAAAAAGAAGCTTCCTCCTCCCTCTGCACCTTCACAGGGCAACCCAAAGTGCTTCCCTGAACCCTCCCACACTTGGTCAAGTCCTCATTCTTGGAGTCCATCTCCACAATGGCAGGTGACTTGCAAGAATCCAGCCTCGGGAATAATAAAGCCTTGGCTTCAAACACACAGAAGTGCAGCTTCAAGTGCAGGAAGACCCCTTGCTGATGTGAAAATGGGCTGGGATCACAGGCACTTGTCACGTCTGCAAGGAGCCACTTCCCTAAGGGAGCTACACTTCACTAAGGAGGCTCACTTTCCAGCCACATCCCAGAACAAGCCCAGGCCTAGGTCACACTAGCCAGCCAGTGCCAAGTGCAAACCAGTGAGGCCTGTCTCATGAGATCCTTCCTTCAACTCAAGGAGGCACCAAAGAGTTGGGGCTGGCAGCTCGGCGTGCTGAGAGAAACATCAGGCACCCTGCCTGGCTCCTACAGGTGGCCACAGAGGCGAGGACAGAGGCAGAATCCACTCTTTCCGGGCACCCACAGAGATCACCACATACATTTTTGTTATTCAAAATCAAAGTTTCCAGTGTAAAAACGTGGGTTTATTGCATCTACCCCACTGATGGTTTATCTTTCTCTTTCCATGAGACCTGCCCCACATGCATGGGGCCGTTGTCTTGTTCGTTTCCAAGGGTCTCACAGTCACACTTCCTTCTGGGCATACAGGGAGAATGTCTACTGACATGGGAGCTCACTGAGCCCCCTCCCCCTTCCCAACATGGGCAGACATGTGTGGCTGCTCCCAGGCACTTGAGGAGAGAAATTTCCCTTCAGCCTAAAACCCCTCAGATGGGTGCCTCCCGATTTTCCTGCCCGCAAGTAGCCCATCCGCCAGCCTCATGGCACGTGTGCTGGTTGCTTGGAATTTAATTGCATGTGAATATCAGGTAGGCACGTGGACATGTATATGTGTGCACATGTGTGCGGACATGTGTGTGCATGCACACATACACATTTTGGGTCCTCCTAATAACGAAAATCAGAAGTCCTTGTGAATGAAAGAAAGGAGAAGAGCAGGGATCCGAGGATGGGGAGCTTTCTGCTGGCTTCTCCATCCCAGAGCTGAAGAAGCTTTTAAATGTTTCTGTGGAAGGAAGGCACCCAGCTTCCTGAGGGTCTTCTCATGTCAACAGCAGCCCTTGTGGTGTCTGGATCCCCTCCTTCTTGTGGCTCAGATTGTTTCTGGGGCCTCGGCTATCTCCTCCAGCCTCTGTCGGATCATTAGCCGGAGCACGGTGTACCTGGGGACAGAAACAGCTGCAGTGGAGAGCAGAAGGCAACACCCCCCTCCTCTCAGCCCTGCTTCCCAGCCCAGGTCACAGTGTGGGCAGCTGCTCCGTCCCTTTGCTTCTGCCGCTGGCCCTCTATAGCCACTTGGCTGCTGTGTTCATTTCCACAACAGGATAGGAAGGACTGATGAGGCTAACTCCAAACCGGATTATTTTACTATGATTAGAAAGTCTGGCTAAGAAGGACGAAAGGGTGGAGTAACAGAAACAATAATAAGGGTCCCATTAACTTAGTGCTTACTATGCCCAAGGCACTGTGTACAGCCCTTCACATGCATAGTAAAGACAGGGTCCAGAACAAAGAACACCTCATTTTTATGACAAAATCTTCTGTTACAAAACCGTAAGCATGCCATTTTGTAACATAACAATATCACACTCGAGCACACCATATGACATTTTAGGTGAAATGTTCAAATTGTTATCCATTGTTGTCCATTCACGTACCCTACCAGCCATGCTCAAGTAAGCCTGCCTTCTGCCCGACCCTGTGAGATTACCATCATTTGACCGTTATAGGAGTGCTTGCAAAAATGACAGCTTCGTGTGTTCAACCTAATATCGGTGCCTGCATTTTGCAGTAGATGCCATAGCAACTACGAGGCAGGGAGGACCATGGCTCGTTGGTGACTGCAACGTCCCCATCCCTTCCCTGAACCATGGCAATGCAAGTCCCCTGTGCACGGCTGAAGGGGACACTCCTTACATTCAGGTCTTTGCATCACACAGCAAAAGCTGTTTGCAAAGTTTGGTCCATTGTAAGTTTCAATAAATGTCAACTGCTTTCACACTAGTTATTATCATTGATACAGCAAATATAGCATTGGCTTTATTCTGTAGTGGCAAAAATGAATCAACTGTTCTAACTTATGACTATGTATAGCAAAAATAAAAATCACAAAATCCTCTCCAGAGAGAAGTTTTACTGGACTTGTCAACCCAAATGCCGTTTCCACCAAAGAAACGTGAAAAGGGGAAGACAAGGTGCAAGGAAGGGACTTCAGAGGTGGCTGCTCAGACCCCATGCCGCTGCCGAGGCAGCCCTCCTGAAGCAGCCAGAACATCTTCATGTCTCACATCAAAGCAAGAAGCTGACGTGAGAAGCAGAGAGGCCAAGACACTGAAGCTCTGTGTCCCCATCTGGGATGTGGATTCACCAATGGGAAGGCCCCTGAAGAAGGTCCCTCAGACCCAGGCCCCCGCAGCTGCTCGGCACCCTGGGAAGCACCTGAACAGAGAGCCCTCTTGAGGGAGGCGCAGGGGAAACCCAACCAGCCACCTGGGGGCCCTGCTCACTTGCGCATCAGCTTCTTTACTTCCCGATCTTCCTCCTCCTGGAGTTTCTGAATGAAGCTTTTAAGGACAGGCATCTCGAACTTTATATACTGGGCCACCTGGGGAGGAAGAAGTAAGTGTGGCGTGCATGCCCCTTCCCAGGATTATTCCAACGCCTTCTGGAGTCTCTCACATAAGGCACAACGCCTCAGGAAATCTATTGCTGCCTTAATCTGGGATTTCCTTAAAGGCCGGAGCCAAGCCTCATTCTTCTCAAGGCTGGCATGGAGTCTGCAGTGAAGACCCCTTTTTTCACGTGACACACTGTCATTACCTCTCACTTTTCATCTCATGTATCCGGTCCCTGCTGAGGTGATGTCTAACATGGAACAGTACTTGGTCCTGATTCCATGATACAGAGAAAGACCTGAATCCATGATATTTCATATACCTCTCTGCTCTCCCCTAAGAGAATTTAAGGCACCATGGCGCAGAATGATGACCATGTCTCAAATAGGCATCCAAATGTGAACTTGACCCTGAGAGACTGTGGGGGTGGGGTGGCTCCCAGGTGAGCTGAGGTTAAACAACTGCTCCTTCTTTCCCCACCAGAATCCCTACCCTACTCTATGCACTCTTCTCCACGGGAGAAGTACATTTCTCCAACCTCTTCATATTACACTTGGCTTTGGTCAATGGAATGTTATGGACAACATACAGCAAGTCTGTGTAGAGGCTCAAAATGAGCTCGCATGGTTTGGCCTGGTCTCTTGCACTCCAGCCATCTGCTGTGAGAAGCATACCCTGGTAGTGACTGCCCCCTGAGCCTGGGTCTCTGAATAAGACATGCAATGCAAACCCTCAACCTCCAGCCTAGAGCAGAGCTTCTGCTACCAGCCTGCAGAATCCTGAGCAAAAAGTAAATGCTTGCTGTCATCAGTGGCTAAGATTTGGGGATGTTTCTTACTGTAACGGAAACTGACTAATACACTTCTTGAAGTTGCTGAGAGTCTGCAGAAACTTCTCGGCCATTGTATAGTACTCCAGAAAGGCTCGAGACATTTACTTCTCTGTGGAGTCACTTTGTGCCTAAACATCCCTCCAACGACTCCCATGGGGCACACCCTCAGCCTAGCCTCTGCATCTGCTCCCCTGGGCCCAGGGCCACTACTTCTTGAACAGAATCTTACATTGAGGAATGGCAGTGAAATGGGCACAGTCCTTGACCAAAAGTCGAGCTATACCCCAGCTGCAGGTAACTCGACCAAACCCCCACCCCGCTGAGGACAGCCCATTGACTAAAAAAGGACTCACATCATAGGTGACTTCCTCCACCTGGTCCTTCTCCATAAGGAACACCTTGGAGACCTGCTCACAGGGGCCCTGGAGGATTCGGGCAATAAGAGGGTAATCGGTGTTCTTCAGCTTCTGTTTTTCTGGAACCACACACAGCCAGGAGCAGCCATGAGTTCGGCCTGAGGCCTTTATCACCATAAGTAGGGGTCAACTTGGGGGCCCAGATGGACCAAGCACCTTAGGAGATGTGGCCATACAAGTTGGGAGACTGATTTGCAAATGAACAATTCAAAAGGTGCAGCTCAAAGCAACTGTTCCGTTTCCTCCCTCCCCAACAATACTTCCATGCCTCAAACACTTTGGAAGATACTGCAGTGGAAGCATCTGTCTCTCAGGAAAATCCAGTTCCTTTCAGTTAGGTTTTAGAGTGTGTTCACTGACCACACATGACACTCCACCAGTCTGGGAGGCAAATAGCATTGGAAAGTTTCCAAATGATGAACGAGAAGCAAATGAGGCACAGGGTGTTTTGTTTTGTTTTTTTTTTTAACTTGCTATTTTGAGTTAATTCGAAGTCTTCAAAGCACACTGTGTTTTTTTGGACTTACCACCGCTGGTATGGACCACGTACAAAGCAAACTCCTCTGCGGAATTCTCAATCTGAATCAGAAGCAAAAGATGCTTGCTGAAAGCAGGTATTACACGTGTGAACTTTGAGCCATTCCTGCCTTATCACTGCAAAGCTAAGGAGATTCTAGGCTTTTTTCAGGGGAGGGCTATTTATCTGCAACTCTCAGAAGTGATAAGGAACTTGGAGGGCAGGTTATGTTATCAATAATAACAGATAAGGGCTAACATTTATTGGACCAGGTAAGGAGTTTCTACACACCTTACATTTTAATTTGCTGAATGCAAGAACCCCGTAATGGGGTCCTGTTATCCTCATTTCACAGATCAGGAAGCAGAAGCACAGAGAGCTTAAGAAGCTTGCCCAACTCATCCAGGCAGCAGGTAGGTGATGAATGGGGACTTGAATCCAGAGCCTGTGCCCCTAGGCCCCTCGGTGACACTGGCTAGCATTAAAATAAGAATGCATGGTCTCCCAAAGACTTACAGAAAGGGGATTGTGGGAAACATATAGAGTAACAGGACTTTTAAAACACTCGTGCACCATAACTTGCACATCTACTGAGGGTCCATTTTCAAAGTAGTTTCCCCAGCTGTATTCCAGATGTTAATCTGCACATAGGACCCCAGACTGGTTGTCAGGCCCACAGCCCCTCCAGTGGCCCATAAAGCCCTGAGGGCTGGTGCTAATCGGGCTTCGGTGGCACCAGAACTCCCTGTGAGCTTGGCTGAGCAGGTTCCCTGGCCTCACCTCTGAGCTTCGGATTCAGCCAGTCTGATTCAGGGGTGTGGCCTGAGAAGCTGCTTTCCTAGCACACTCCCACGTGATGCTGATGCCCTGGGTCTGAAAGACCCAAACTTCTTCCTGGTGCCCCCCTCACCACACATTCTCCACAGCCCCCACCTCTCTACCTCTGGGGCCCCCAGGGCACACGTGCTGCCCCTCCGAGCCAACCAGCAAAGGAAACTTGCCTTAAACTTGTTGAGCAGCAGCTTGAGGACCTGCGGGGTGGTCATGGTGCTGTTGATGCGGACATTGGTGACGGAGCCGTAGGCCGGGGTAAACACGGACGTCTGCCAACAGAGGGGTCCAGCTCAGGGCGGGGGTGGGGACAAGGACAGGGTCTGAAACCCAGGCACCCCACCCCGTTACCTGGGGTAGAGGGCACAGGGATGCTCACACTCAAGCTGTGCTCCCTGACAGCCTCCAAATAGCCTCCTGGCAAGCACTGGGCTTTGATGTCAACAAAGAGCCCTCAGCTTTGCCTAACTCAGGAGCTCCAGGGGCCTAAGATCTCCAAGTGGCAGGGTTGGGGAGGGGGAATAAGACTAAATAAGGGAGGCCCTCTCTCCCAATAAAACACGCACAAAGTCCCTTCTACTGCGACTTCAACATGAGGAGGACTCTGGCCACTTTCCCATGATACACCTGCTTCTGAGGCCAGATTTGAACCAGGCAGCAGGAGGGAAGGAGAGTCAGCTAATTGGTGTGGGGTAGGTGGGCTCCTGATGCTCCCTCCTCTGAGTGTCACAGCTCTGCGTGGGGGGCTGCCCTTAGCTCATGGAAAAGTTGGACCACACAGCAGCTGGGAGGCACAGGGAGCAGAAAGAGTAACACAGAGATTGGCTGGTATCTAACAAGGGGCATCTGTGGGGTCGTCTCACCCACCACCTAGGGCATCTCCTGACCTGGGATCCCTCATTCCTTACAAAGCCAGCAGCCCACCCACAACTCAAAGGCTGGACAGCAAACACTTGGATTCCCAGGTGTCTGTAGCCCTGAAGTGGCAGCTGCTTAGGAAGGGGCTTCGCCCTCCTTCAGGCTGCCCCTAGTCTTCCTCCACACCCATCCCACACCACCCTGCCCCCTCTACCTTGTGGTTGTAGAAATGGCCATTGATGGAGAAGCGGTGGCGTCTGATTCGCCGCTGGTCACTGGGTGTCCTCACATTGCCCCGGCGACGCACCCCAACATCACTGCGTGTACGCATCAGCTGTGGGGTGTCTTCCTGCAGGGTCTTCAGGCCTCTGGAGTCTGAGAGGGAAGGGGAAAAGGAGCTCCGTCTGCCTGGGCCCAGCATGTGGCAGTTTGCACCTGGTACCCGCTTGGCGGCCAACACTACAGCACCCACCACCTCCCCAAAAACATATTTTATAAAATCAGTATTTCCTGCTGGGGGAAAAACACAATGCAAACTTTACTGAGAAGCAATGCAGTGACGAAGTTCAGAGCACAGACTTCAGAGCCAGACTCCCGGATTCACATTCCAATTCACCATTGCTACATAACGCTAACCTCTCATGCCTCAGTTTCCTCATCAATAAAATGGGGATAATAATAGACCTCACCTCATGTGATTGTTGTGAGGGTTTAAATGAGTTAGTTTGTGGAGAGCACTTAGAATAGTGCCAGACGCAAGATAAACATGACACAAGGGCTTGCAAGCAAGATACTGCAAACTGACTATCAAAATTGCAAATGTACATAGCCTCAGGCCCAGCAATGACACCTGAAAGAACCCTGCAGATACTGGCAAATGTGTGAAATGACACATCAGCAAGACCACTGGCTGCAACCTTGTTTGTCATAGCAAAGGACTGGTAAGGACTTAAATACTCATCAGTAGGGAACAATTACAGAAGTGGTCATTTGTCCACACAATGGAATACTGAAGAGCTATGAAGAATGCAGGCATTCCTCATGGATTTGTATGGAACACTCCTCAAAATAAACTGTTACATAGAAACAGAGGTGTGCAAATGCTACCACCGATGTGAAAGGGGGGAGAAAAGAAATGCCATTCAACTACCAAGGTTTGTGGGTGCGTCCTTGCTTCTGTTTGTACAGAGTATCTCGGGAGGCGCGCCTTTAGGTGGCCTCTGTGGAGGGAACTGTGATGATGAGGGCCGTACTTGGCCATGTATACTGCGCACTCACGTTTTTGGCCCTGACTTTCAGGAAAAAGATCTTTTGTTTCTATTTTTTAGTTATTTATATTCAGATACTTGTTTTTTTGTATTGTAAAGAAATTTTAGCATTTACTTTTGAACATGTTATGGTACAAGAAATTTTATGTAACAAATCATTATAAAACACAAGAACGGACACAAAGTACTTCAGGTGCTGCCCACATATAATGTGCCTCCTTATTTTGCCCTCAGAAATCTGGGCAACAAAGTGCACATTATATGCAGCAAAACACTGTAGATGAAATGGAAACCTTTACATTCTTTTTAATATTTTTGAATCTTGAATCATGTGGATTTTATTTATTCAGAAAACTAAATAACCGTTTCCAACATCTATCCCATTCGTCTTCATACAGCAGTTGGCCCCAGGCTGGAGGCTCCTCCCACCACGCGTGTACCTGTAGGGCTTGATGTCTGGTCACTCTCGGCTGCAGCATCCACCTCCGTGATCTGAATGTCGGGCATGGTGAGGGGCTTCAGGATGGTGCTGGGGGCAGAAAACAGATGAGGGAGTCTGGTTTAGCCCCTGTGGGGAGACACGCCCACTCCCACCCCACCCCACCCCACTTCTGCACAGGGAGCACTTTGCTTGCGCCACGCTGGGGATAAAGGATTTGGATGGGCTGTGCTGACTGTCCCAGGAGGCTAGGCCAGCTCCAGGCTGAGCACTGGGTGAGGAGGGGGAGGTCTGGAGAGAGGACACTCAGTCCCTGCAGCTGCAGCCACAGAAGCACCCGATTCATCAAGGCCAGGCTGGAGAACCACAAAGAACAAAACCCACGTGTTGCCTGCGCTGAATTTCTAAGCATGTGTGGCTTCTGTAGCTTATTTGGAAATCCCCAATAATGGCCATTTATTTCTCAGGACAAGGTTCCAGTTCTGATCTACTTCTGTTAGAAAAATAACTCAGAAATTGCTTTGGCATCTAAGAGGAATGGAAAGTAACAGGCCAGCTGTCACAAGGGTCAGGGCAGCTTTGGAAGGGGTGCTGGTGGTGGCGTTCTCGGGGTTGCATGGACTGAGCAGTGCTCTTGAATCACGTTGAAGAAAGGGCCTCGGGCTGGCCGTCTGAGCTGACACCTGGTGTTGCCACGATAACTGGTAAATAACTCCTCGGAGCCAAGAAGGGCAATGGGAGCAGCTCACAGAAACACACCCGAAATCAACAGAGGATTTGGCCAGAAAGGAGAGCCATATGTAACAATGAGGACCATCCCACCGTGAGAAGAGCGTGGGCTCGTTGGGACCCAGAAGATAGATAGGACCATGTTCAGGGGATGATAGTTTTAAGGGAAGACAATTAAAATGGAAAAATCTAAAGGAACTTCCTATTGCAGTATAACCTATGACCTCTGACCCCAGAATGGAACTGTTCAGAGCCTGTCTGGAATGGTGAACACTCAGCACCCACTCCTCCTTTGTCCAAAGCTCTCTTTCTCGCTGAAACTGGTCTCAGCATCCTTCTCCACACAGTGGTCCAGGCATTCACTATATCATAGCAGGCATCTGGGATGACATTATTTACATTCTGAAAACTCACAGTATTTGCAGGTTTCAAGAACCAACCAGCTACCAGGTTGATACCACAGGGAAGGGAAAAGAAACAAGTGCGTAGAGGACCCTTTAGCAGGCCCAGCCATGGGCCACGTGGTCTAATGACATTTCAGAAATCATCTCGCTCAGGGAATGGAATGTAACCTAGTCTGGGAGCTGGGTGGGGCTGTGGAAAGTTTGGCCCACTGGAAATCAAGTACAGTAAAAGTGCTGAACGCAAAGCAGAGTATGAAAACAGCAAAAACAGATGAAGCCGAAGAGCCATGCCCAGACATTCCAGCCCCTGGTGGGATGGGTGAAGACTCTTCTCCTCAAATGCTCTTGGAAAACAAGCAGATCAGCTCCAGGGCTTGGCCACAATGTGGGCCCCTCTCAACTTCAGAGAAAGATAGCTTCGGCTGCGGAGTTTAACAAAACATTCCATGTGGCAAACAGAGAAGGCTTGGTTCTCATTTAAAATAGAAAAACCATCATCACTGTGGTTTTGGCTGAGAGATTGGCATGCTCAACCCGTGCTCTGGTCAGAAGGCAGTCGGCATCAGCAAGTTTCAAGATGAAACAGGCTAGTCACTTGACCCTAAAAACTGAAGTCTCAGAAAGACAGTGAGGAGGGCATGCCTTACTAAAGGCACTTAGCTACTCATTTGGCAGTGGAGGGAGGAGGGGAGCAGGCTCGGCCTTCACAGGTCTTCCAGTGGGGACCCAGAAGAGAGGGCCTCCCGGACTACTGACCAGCAATCACAGACCACCACACACCCAGCTTGGCTGGCTCGGACGGGGTGTGACATTCCTTTTTCTCTTCTGGGTTTTCCCAAGACATGGAAAGCTCTGGTCTGAAGGTTTGAGCCCTAAATGTCTCCAGAGCAGGGTCTCTCTACGGGGTGGTCCCAGGGGGGAGGATGCTGGAGCATCAGGTGTCCTGTCAGAAATATGTAGGCTGGGCCTGGCTGGCCGCTACCAATGCCTCTCAGAGACTTGGAAATTCTCCACGAGGTGGGATACTGCTCACCAGGTTTTGGTGCTTCTCTCTGACTCAGTGTCTCCCCTCCTCACTCTGACTGTCACTCAGTAACTGGTGATAGGAGTGGAAGCCTGATCACCCAATGCCTGCCCCTTTCTCCTCTTCCCAGAGCAGAACAGATAGGAACAGGAGCTGGGGTCAAGGCTAGCTGGAAAAAGGTGGCATCCACCTGCTCAAGAACACACCAAACCCCCAGACGCCCCTAGCCCTTACTCACCCTTGAGCCTCCAAGTTACAGCCAGAGTGCCAGGAGGAAGAGGAGGGAGGGGGGCGAATGCGCTCATTGTCATCCTGCATTTGCAGACGGATGGGCCGGCGCAGCCCCCAGGAGATGTTCAGCAGCCCCTCCACGATGAACTCATCTTCTTCCTGCCCACAAAGCAATCGGTGCGGTGAGTCCAGAAGAAAGGCCCAGCAGAAGCCAGCACCATGCCAGGGGCCACTGGCAGCATCCTGAACGGGTCCTGGCTGCACGCACCCGAGCTATATCACACCCAGCTCCGGTACACCCTCCGCTGTAAACTACCCTGAGGCCACGAAGGTGACCTCCCAGGTCAGCACACGTGTTGCCTGGAAATTCAAGTACACATGTGCACATTATAAAAATGGGGTGTTTTTTACACTGCTGACTTCAAAGAAAGAAGAATACATCTCTTAAAGTAATATGAGACTAGCCTTACTAACAGAATTAACTATTTTCCCCTCTTCTGTGGAAAATGATGTCTTTAGCTACAACATATGTTTAGCAATGTAACCTGCTGGGTGAAGGAGATTTAAAGTAATAGTTCCCCAAGTTTACTCTGTGGAATATATAGCAGAATATTCTAGCAGAATAGAGAATATAGAATCCTCTACTGATCAGTTGTCACCTTAAAAGGGGTGCTGAGTCGTCATGAGTTGGGAGATGTTGTGCTGATCAGATTTCTTAACCGCAGAACTCCCCAGAGCATCCAGTGAGCGGATGTGCTACACTGTGACTCTCTGAGAGGTGAATACATCTTGCAATAATTCCAAATTCATAGTCAAGGGTGATTCCCCAATAAGAAGGTAAATGTGAAACCCTTCTAAGGGCATTATTTGCATAATCCCAAGAAATGGATCTCATTTATGACCGTAAAACTCTTTAATCACCAAGCATTTTGAGAATTCCTTCTATAGGACACACCTCAAAAAAGCTATTTAAGGACAATGATCTTGTTAATGGCACAGCCACTGATCTGTACAAGCTTTGAGGTCAGTGCCTAAAACAGTCAGGCTTTCTTTCCCAAGCCTCAGAAAAACCTTTTTGGGCAGGGCCCACAGACGTCAGACCTGGGCCACAGACACATCTTCAGGACAAGCCCCGTGGGTGAAAATGATACCTGACCAGCGGGCAAGCTAATCTGAGCCCCAGATCATCCTTAGAGAGGGAGGGGGGATAGAAGAACGCAGGAGAGGAGCTGAGCAACTTTAGGACACTTGTGGATCTTGGGGAGAAAGACTGTATTTAAGTGCCAGTTGCATATACGGCCTTCTAAGTGGTCAACGCTGGCATCATTACTTTACATTACATTCTCATAGGACAGAATTTAACCCAAAGTAGGGCTTTGCCTGAGTTGACTTATTTGAGGAACACAGAAAACGTCACTGCATCCACATACTATCCGCAACAGTCTGTCTTAGTAGCTGAAATTCTACCATTTGATATCTTTTTCTGTGGTTTAAATCACCATAGCTTGATAACCTGAAAATGTGTTTAGAAGGGTATTACACATACCTTCTTATCAGTCAAGAACACTTGAGTATAAATTACTCTGCCAGGTTCCTATACAGCTCCCTTCTATCTGATAACAGGCTTTACAGAAATGGATACAGGATGAGTAAACTTAGATGCAGGATGGGGGCTGGGGAAAGACAGCTGGAAAACAAATGGCATTCCAAGAAGGCACCCTAAGAAGGCTGCTGCAGTTGTGGAGAAAAGTGAGGGGAACCCCAGAGCTTAGGTGGTTGTCTTATGGGCCCAAATGTGTAAACAGAGGACTAGGAAGGTCCCTGAATTGCCCAAATAAAGAAGCCTGCTTGAGAGCCTTCCAAAAGGGTCATTTCACAAAAGCCTCCCTTTGGAGAGCTCCCCTCAGTGAGCAGATGCTAGCACAGCCTCATATCCAAGGCATGTCTCTGGACCAGAAAAGCTCGCCTTTTCTGGAACAACTTGGACCTGGGGTCTCCTTCCAAAGAACACCAGGGTCTCCTGTTAATATCCTAAAGGAGAAGCCACTCACTGTGGCAGGAGGGACAGGGAGCCAGGACACAGGGCCCCTCAGACCCCGGGCACATGGAGGCAAAAACTGGGCTGGCCCTCCAGTGAGGGAGCCTCCCCTGGGGACTCCTCACCTCCCGGTGGCGGAGCTGCAAATTCTGGCCTTCATAGTACAAGTTGTAGGTCTTCAGATGCAGGAGAAGTTCATTTCTGAGGGGAAAAAATACAAGAGGTATAACAGTCTTAGCCAAAGCCACTTACAATGCAGTTGTTCCGTCTCTTCTCACCTCTAACCTGGCCCGTAGTCACCCCAGTCTGGGTGTTTGTCCACAGGGGTGCACATGCACACACACGGGATCCTACCGCCACCCCCAACACCACCTTCCCCCAGGATCAAGATCAAGAGTAAAGACCACCTAGAACAGACTGAAGGTGAAAGAAAAGCAACTCTAGAAAACCAAGGCAGCCTCGTCTGCTGGTGAAAGCTGGCAGCTCTGACGATACTCCTCAAACCCAAGCTGTGTAAGCAGTCCGTACTAAGCCACAGGTTCACAGAGGCAGCCACACTTCAGACCCATAGGCAGGGTTTCTCCTGCCTCTCAGCCTCCCCTCCTTCATGCGTGCTGGGAGTCAGGAGAGGACAATCCCTACAGGCTTTTTTCACGAGACTCAGATACTTCTAGGCTTTTGAGAAAGTTAAAAGGGACAGGTCTGGTCCCACTGACTTATGCTTCATGGACATGACCTTATCACGTGTTTAAAAACTTACAAACTCCCATCAACAGTGGAATGGATGAATATAGGCAGCTACAGTCATACAATGGAAGGTTATATGGCAATGAGAACTTGAATAATCTACACACAGTGTAGATGAATCTCACAGTACTATGTTGAGTAAAAGCTACTGTGTGATTCCATTTATATGAAGTTCAAAATGGGTGTCTGCATTCAGGATAGTGGTTCATCTTGGGGAGCAACAACTAGAAGCGGCCATGAAGGGGCTTCTGGGCCCTAGCAATATTCTATTCTATGTGCTTTTGTCTTCTTATTCCATTCTAGGTGCTTTTTGTTTATTAAAACATTTTTTTAGCTTGCAAATCCCCTCTAAAGCCTGGTACCAGGCCTTCTTAACTGCTAAGAAGGAACACCGCTTTCCAGGTGTTCCTTTGGGACACAGCTCTACTGAGCGTGGGAGAGAGAGGGTTTCATGCCCTTTGTGATCAGGGCACGCCCTTGTCAAACCTGAGAATAGTCTGATCCAGTTTTGTTTAAAATGTGTGGTGTGCATGAGGATTTGGCAGGGGGGAAGCTCCAGGAGGCTGCTGTGTACTATTGCCTGTTTCCAGACAAAGGCGATGGAGTGTGGTCCTCCTAAATCCAGCCATTCCGTGGGGGTGTTTGGGGCCATGCTGGAGGTCAAAGCCCTGGTTGGAAAGTCTAAGAAGTTCCAGATGAGCTGGAATAATTCTACGCAAGCCAAAATGAATTAGTAAAAAATGTAGCTCCAAATAACTTAAACCCAAAATTGTTTGGTACTTTTGAACACACAGATGTGAAAGTAGGAGGTAAAATGACTGGTCAGTAGAAGTCTCCGGGGAAATCCACCCATAAAGTGATAGAGAATGACCCCAATCTCCCACCACCATGTGCCTGCAGATGGCCAAGGCATCTCAAATAATAATAATAATAATAATAATAATAATAATAATAATACAATTTGGACTCAGGGAAGTTAAACATTTAGTTAAGACAGAGAGTAGCCAGTATGTGCTGCTACGTCCCTGTGCTGGATATAAAGATGTATCCTGACACTTATAATTCAAAAGAGTCTATTTTGGCTCAGCCCTGTCACATTACCAAAAAGCTGACTTCAGGAGATTTTAGTGCCTACAAAGCAATGACACTGTCTCTTCCTGCCAGGGGTCACCTGTGCCTGTTTTAGCCAGAACGGCAGCAGCTCAGGTACTCCACTCAGCTGGGACTCCCCGGGAGACACCACAGATAGGACAGTGAGCAGCCACTGCTACTCCTCCTCTTGGAAGCCCTCCAGGATACCATCTCTTTTGAGCTTTCAAAAGTGCCATATCTTGAAGGTGCCCTTTACCTCATTCTCTATGGCCAGGCTCTGGGGACATATTTTCTAGAGCAGCAACCTGCTGAGGCTCTTACTGTCCACACTTAGCTGCTTACTTAGCTCTTTCTCACAGGAGCCCCAGCTCTCTCACGTACAAAGGAGGCATCTCTGCCAGGAGCTTCCATCCGCACGGGGCTGGCTACTGGGGGCAGCACACTACAGAAAAAGTCTTACTTGGAAATGTATTTATCTTTTCCACATGGGACTAGGGAAGTTTGGTGGCTGTAGTCCATTCTTCCTTGCTCTTTTCATCAGAAGGAGAGACCTGTATTTGAAAGGAGAAGACAGAGGTTAGAGACAGGTTGTGTCCTTAGGAATCAGCAGAACTTAGGCTGGGGACCAGGGGCACATGACTCTCTGCCCCTTTTCTAGACCCACAGCTTGGGCAGGCCCATGGTGACCTAAGACTAGTGCTGGCTGCTGGATCTGCTTGCCATGGCCTTGGAGGAAAAAAAAAACACCCAAAGGAAATATGGCAACCCTTAGACAGCCCCAGAATAAGTGCCCTAGCCACAGAGAGTGTTGACACCCAACTTGGTTCCAAGGACAACCAGGGAGTCTTCTCTGAAGAAACCTTCACAACCCAGAGTGGAGATCCAGCTGACAGGAGCAGCTCAGAGACTCTACTGAGGAACACTAAAGGTTGGTAAACCACCTAAAAATGCCCAAATAATGCTGGGCACAATAAATCGCAGTTACACATCTATAATCACCTTTAAAATATGATTCTGTGAAGGCAATTTAATTACCAGGAAAATGACAATACATTATGAAAACACAGATTACAAACCTATGAGTCCACTAATGTTTAAAATATATGTAAGCATAAAATATGCACATATACACATTTATTTAAATAAAATATTCAGATATTCAATTATACACACACACACAACACACACATATACACACATATACAGTCAGGCCTCAGTGTTATTGATAGGTAACTTTAAGCAAAACATGTATAATGAAACAATTTTATCAGTATATCAGCCACAGGCTAACTGATATAAATGAGAGCTAAGTTCCTAAGGCATTTCATTAACATTATAATAGAATGCCATTGAATGAAGTACATTATTTGAGCCTACTGTATGCATATGTGTGTACAGTCTCATACATGTCTATATATATGCATATACATGTCAAGATTTCTCAACTTCAGCACTGTTGACATTTGAGACTAGATCATTCTTTGTCATCCTGCGCATTGGGGGGTGTTTAGCAGCATCCCTAGCCTCTACCCACTAGATGCCAACAGCTGTAGCTCCCCAGTCATGACAATCAAAAGTGTCTCCGGACATTACTTAAGTGTCCCCTGGGAGCTAAACTGCCCCATTTGAGAACATGTGACATGCATATGTGTATATAAATGAACAAAAGGCTGGCTATCTCTGGGTAATGGCAGTGCCCGAAGTTCATCCAACATTTTATTATGATAATTTTCAAACATAAACTGGTATCTGTTATAATGTTTCCTCTTTTATTTCTGATTTTATTTATCTAAGTCTTCTCTCTTTTTTTCTTCGTCCAGTTGAAGGTTTGCAAATGTAAAGTTGCAGAAAGAAGACAGTGAGTGGCCATGGCAGAATAACATTCACCACCCTCACTTCATCGCACATCTGTCCATCCACACACGCCTTTATCCATTCAACAACCCATCTTAGCGGAAATCAAAAGGGAAATCAAAAATATCTTGAAACAAAAAATTGAAACACAACATACCAAAAGTGTGAGATGCAGAGAAAGTAGTTCTAAGAGGAAAGTTTATAGCAATAAATACCTACATTAATGAAAAATAAAGGTCCTAAATAAGTAACCTAATTTTACACATCAAGGAACTAGAAAAAGAGGAACAAACTAAGCCCAAAATTAGCAGAAAAAAATAACAAAGAGTACAGCAGAAATAAATGAAATAGAAACCAGAAAAAAACAATAGAAAAGATCAATGAAACTAAGAGCTGTTTTTCTGAAAAGATAAACAAAATTAGCAAATCTTTAATTTGTATACCAACAAACTGGATAACCTGGAAAAATCCCTAGAAACATACAACCTACCAAAACTGAATTGTGAAAAAAACAGAAAATCTAAATAGACCAATAAAAGGAAAATTGAATCAGTAACCAAAAACCTCCCAACAAAGAAAAGCCCAGGCCCAGACTGTTTCACTGGTGAATACTACCAAACATTTAAAGAAGTGAGTCCAATCATTCTGAAACTCTTCCAAAAAGCAAAGAGGAGGGAACACTCCCAGACTCATTTCACAATACCAGCACTACCCTGACATCAAAGCCAGATAAGGGCACTACAAGGAAACAGAAAACTATAGGCCAATATGCTTGATGAACGTAAGTGTGAAAATTCTCAACAGAATACTAGCAAACTGAATGCAACAGTGCATTAAATGAATCATACCACATGATCAGTGGGATTTATCCCAGGAATGTAAGAATGGTTTAACATATATAAATCAATAAATGTGATACATCACATTAATCAAATGAAAGATAAAAATCATATGATCATCTCGATAGATGCAAAAAAGGTCTTTGATAAAATTCAACATCCTTTCATGATAAAAGTTCCAACGTATTCAGTACAGAAAGAATGTACTTCAACATAATAAAAGCCAGATATGACAAGCCCAGGGCTAACACGAAACTCAACGATAAAAACTCAAAGCTATTCCTCTAAGATCAGGAATCAGATGAGGGTACCCATTCTCACCTTCACCAGAGCAATCAGGCCAGAAAAATAAGTGAAATACCTCCAAATCAGGAAGGAAGAAGTAAAACTGTCTCTGTATGTAGATGATATGATCTTATATATAAAAAATCCTAAAGATTCCACCAAAAAACTGTTATATTTAATCAACAAATTCAGTAAAGTTGCAGCATACAAAATCAACATACAAAAATCAGTTGTACATTTATACACTAACAACAAACTATCTGAAAAAGAAATAAAACAATTCTACTTACAATGGCATCAGAAATAATAAAATACTTAGGAATAAACTTAAGTGAAATTTCTGTACATTTAACATATAACTTTGAGGAAAGAAATTGAAGAAGACAAAAATAAGTGAAAAGATAACACACATTCATGGCTCAGAAGAATATTGTTAAAATGTCAATATTACTCAAAGCTAACTCTAGATCCAATAGAATTCCTATCAAAATTCCAATGGCACTTTTCGCAGAAATAGAAAAAAATCCTAAAATTTGTATGGAACCACAAAAGACCTCAAATAGGCAAAGCAATCCTGACAAAAAAAGAACAAACCTGGAGGCATCAAACGTCCTGATTTCAAACTATACTACAAAGCTCTAGTAAGCAAAACAGTATGGTGCCAGCACAGAGACCAATGGAACAGCATTAAGAGTTTAGAAATAAACCCATGCATAGGTACTTAATGGGGAGACAGTAGTCTCTTAGTATTGGAAAAAACTAGATATCATATTCTAAAGAATGAAACTGCGCCCTTATCTTACACCATTTACAAAAATTAACTTGAAGTGGATTAGACTCAAATGTAAAACCTGAAATTGTAAGCATAAGAAAACATAGAGAAAAAGCTTCTTGGCATTGATCTTGGCAGCAATTTTATGGATGTGACACCAAAAACACAAGTCACAAAAGCAGAAATAAGTGAGAGTACATCAAGATGAAAAAACATCTATACAGAAAAAGAAACAATCAGCAAAATGAAAAAGCAACCTACAGAATAGGAGAAAACATTTGCACACCATATATGGGGTAAGTGATTAACATACAAAATACTTAAGGAACTCATATGATTCAACAGCAAAAAAATCCCAAATGTTCCAATTTAAAAATGAGCAAAGGACCTGAACAGACATTTCTCCAGAGAGTACATACAAATGGCCAATAGCCATATGAAAAGATGCTCAATATCATTAATCATCAGGAAAACGCAAATTAAAACAACAGTGAGATACCATCTCACACCTGTCAGAAAGGCTACCATCAATAAATCAACAAACAACAAGCACTGGCGAGGAGGTGAGGAAGGGGGAACCTCATGCACTCTCTGTGACTGTCAACTGGTGCAGCCACTATAGAAAACAGCATGGAAGTCCCTCACAAAATTAAAAATAAAGCTGCCATATAACCCAGCCATTTCACTTCTGGGGTTATATCCAGGGGAAAAAAACCCCACTAGTTAGAAAAGATATATGCAGCCTTACACTCACTGTAGCATTAATAGTCAAGATATGGAAGCAATCTAGATGTCCATCAATAGAGGAATGGATAAAGAAGATGTGATTGACATATATAATGGAATATTACTCATTAATAAAAAAGAATGAAATCTTGCCTTTTGCAACATGGATGGACCTAAAGGGTACTATGTTAGGTGAAATAAATCAGAGAAAGACAAACACCATGATTTCACTTTTAAGTGGAATTAAAAAAAATAAAACAAATACATAAATGAAAAAGAATAGAAACAGACCTATAGATATAGAGAACAAGCTGATGGTTGCCAAAGGGGAAGAGCATGCAGGAGTGGGGAAAAAAGACCCAAAACCCAGAAGGCATAATAAAAATATCTGATACCAATCTATAAAATATTTAAACTTCTGTTTAAAAGAAAAATTTACCCTACCCAAAGTCAAAAGGCAAATGACAAGTTGGGGAAAATATTTACAATATGTATGACAAAAGGCTAATGTCCTTAATATGTACAGGGCTTTAATACATCAATAAAAAGATTCTACACTCCGTGAAAACTGGCCAAAGGACATGAACAGATAACTCACAGAAAAAATGAATACAAATAGCTAATAAACTATGAAATCTTTCTCACCACTGCATTTTTACTTCCAATCGATATGAAGCCAACAACAAATCAGAACATACTAGATATATCAGAATTTAGCTTTTACTTAAAATTATTCTGAGGTGTCGGCACCGGAATGCAGCTGCACCGGAACGCAGGCACGTCCTGGGCCCGTAGGCCTGCCCGTAAAGCTTAAGGTAACAGAAGAATGTACACTGGGAAGCATGAAATGTCCAGTCCGTGCTTTTCTTTCTGTTCTTCGGGTAACCAGGATGCCTTACCTCTCCTTATGCTGGAGACTACCTGGCCACAGTCACGGGACCCAGACAGGAAGTCCCCAGGAGCTGAGTAAGTCAGACTGCTGAAGCGTGAATAAGAACTGACCGATCACTACAGTCCAGGAGCCTAATCCCCTCGCTCATGATTACTCATGACCTTTGTTCTGTAAAACCCCTTG